AACCCCCTGCACCTCCCAGAGACCCCCAGAGCCCTCCCCACCCCAACAGGCAGTTGCTGGAGGAACAGTTGTCCTGGCACGTGCAGTGCTGGTGGGGGGAGCACAGGGGGGTTAAGGGCACCCCCAGAGACCCCCTCAGTGACCCCCAAATCCCTGCACACCCCCCAGAGACCCCCAGACCCCCCTGCACCCCCCCCAGAGACCCCAGGGCTCACACAGGGGGCTGGGGGGGTTGCTGTGCACACACACACACCCCCTGAGGGTGCTGACCCTCGGAGAGAGGGGCGGGGGGTGTCGGGATCTGCTGCTTTTGTGCTTCCCTCTGCTCTGAAAATCCCACTGTGGGCCCAGATGTGTCCTGGCTGAGCCCAGGTGAAGGTGTGGGTTCAGGGGAGAGACCCTCTTTTTGGGTTTCTGTTTGGCACAACCCTGCCAACCATCCTGGAGACCCACCCTCCGTGCTGGACCACGGCCGGTCTCACTCCTCTGCTCCACACCCACAGGTCACCTTGGACAACCTGCCCGATTATCTTTCCAGTAACTAAGCTAATTAACCGAGTCTCTGGAGCTCTAAGGTGTTAATAAGTTTAAGCATCCCCTTATCAATGGGCAGTGCAATCCATGTGTTTCATATCCCAGTTCTCCAGGTGTTTGTTCCAATCCCTCCTGTCTGGTTTGGAGCTTTGTGTGCTGAGGCACAGCAATACCAAGATGTGAATATGCAGATTCCAGCCTAAAAGCAAACAAACAAAAAAAAAAGGATTAAGTTGTCAAGGTTAGCAGTGGCTCCAAAATTTGGGAGATATCTGAGGTTCTGGAGCCACCTCTGCTGTGAAGAAAGGCTTGGGAGAATTGGGATCGTTCAGCCTGGAGAAGAGAAGGCTTTGAGGAGACCTAATTGTGGCCTTGCACTGCCTGAAAGGGCTGAAGAGAAACATGGAGAGAGACTGTTTACAAGAGCATTTAGTGACAGGACAAGGGGAATAGCTTCCCACTGCCAGAGGGCAGGGCTAGATGGGATATTGGGAAGAAATCCTTCCTTGTAAGGGTGGGGAGGCCCTGGCACAGGTTGCCCAGAGAAGCTGTTCCTGCCCCATCCCTGGAAGTGCCCAAGGCCAGGTTGGAGCAGCCTGGGCTAGTGGAAGGTGTTGGAATGAGATGAGTTTCAGTGTCCCTTCCAACCCAGGCCATTCCATGACTCAGAGCTGTCACACAAGGTCAGGCCTCCTGGATAACAGGAATTTCAGGCTGTTAAGCAGAGCTCTGGTGGGCTCTGGAAGGAGGTGCTTTATTGCTGTGACACAGCTCAGGGCACGCTGTGTGTGAGCAAATTCTCATCTCCCACTGCCCTGGTGTGTTCTCTTCAAACCTGCTGCAGTTGCCTCCTCTGTGGGAATGGCTCTCTTTGATCCAGGCAACTGTGGGAAGCCTTTTTTTTATTATTTTTTCCCCAGGACAGAATCCCTCACCTGTTTCAAAACACGTGTAACCATGTTCAGAAGCACCTCAGAGCACCTGACACCTGCAGCACTGCAGGTCTCTCTGCCTTCACATTTTCCAGCCCTGTCCTGCCATCAGCTTGCATAAGGAATAAATTGCCATCCCTGTGGTACAGTCCAGCCTTGGCAGCCAAATGTGTTATGGATCTTTTGTGGGGATTTCATCTTCCCCTCAAGCTTCTCCTGGCACTGGCAGCTGCACAGCAAAGCTGTGCTGATGGGCCATTACCCCTTTTCAGCATGACAATAATCAATATGGCTTTGTCCTCAGCTGTCACAGGGTGTCACATCCCTTAAGCAGCCAAAAAGCTCTTTATGGTTTATCCTGACTTTTCTTTTGTGCAGTGGAACTCGCTGCTGGGCTGGAATCAGGGGCTGTGTCCTCCCTGTGTCACCTGCCTCTGTGCCAGCAGAGTGGTCCAGGCACTTTCCAAAAGCACTTGGAATTTTGGAACTGGCTGTGCTTCCTGCTGCTCCAGCCTTTGCCTCTCCCCGTCCCTGGGTGTTGCCAGAGCAGCTCAGACAGGACCCTGCACCCTTCCACCTCAAACCAACATCAGCCCCAGGAAGAAGAACTACACAAAACCCCACATTTCAGGGCTTTGGAAATCGAGGTTTTCCCCCAAAGTTTCTCCCACTTAAAGCAGGCAGATTTAACCTTTCTAGGCCATATGCTAGAAACCTGATTTTTCTCATATTTTTCCCTCTCTTTTAACTCTCCCTCCAGGTGTAACTTTTTACTGCAGTGAGCAGAAACCTGACTGGCAGCAGAGAGAGGGGGGAGCAGCAGGTTTTGTGATGGTGTGTGATGCCCAGAGAGATGGGAGGCAGTAGATGAAGAGCAGGAGCTGAGATTTTTGAAGAGGTGCTCTGGGGATTTATGGTGTCAGTCAGTAGGATACTGGCACTCAGTGCTCAGAGAGTGATGCAGAGAATCCCTCCTGCCAGTACAATGAACAAAGATCCCGTGCTCTCCACTTGAGTCACTACTTCAGCAGAGCTGGACCCAAACCTTTGAAGGCAGTGCAGGTTTCAGGATTGATGGGGGTGGGGTTTTTTTTATGCTCTCCGACCTCGAGGACTTTTTCCAACGTGTGATAAACAAAATCCCAAATTTCTCTAAGTTTTTGAATAGGAGTTTATTATCTGGTAAAAGCAAGCACCACTGGCTGGGTGACAGAAATGGGGACAAGTTTCCCAAATCTGCACACACACTACAGTGTACATTTGGCATTTATCTTAGCTGCTTCATGCACATTAATTATCTCATATACATAGACATTTTGCAGTTTTTTGCTAAGTATTTAATATATGGGTTTTCTTACAGC